GCAAATATTGAAGTTACAATAAGGGCAACAGGAAAGGAACAGACACACAGCTTTATACTTAGCAAAATGTTACATTGAAAATCTGACAAGGAGCCAAGATGGTGACTGTCTCCTCTTTTAAACCATACAACAGTAAGATTTGCGCAATCCTCCTCCTCTCCCACCTCCTTCAGGAGTATTAAATGAATCAAGACTTTGGAAAGAAAGGGAAACAGCCGGGACTTGGCAGTACTTGAAATAGGAGGAATACAGCAGCCTAAATGTACAGACTTTGTCACGGAGCCCACTTGATGGGTCTGTGTCTTCACGTGACCACCATCTGTGCCTCCCTCTCGCCATCCAAATGTGTGTAGGCAGAGACTTGGAGCCAAGCCTAAAAATACAGCTACACCAGGGCCCTGGAAACTGTAGTCAAGTAATAGGCCTAACTTTTTTTTTCCTCGTTGGATTAAAAGTGTGGATGATCTCTTTGGAGGGGATTCCAGCCATACATATCAGAGTGTTGTTCTGACAGGAAGAATCCATTATATAGGCATTTTCTATTCCTGTCCAAGGCATGAGGATCTTTTGATATCCTTGTACCTCTCTTCTCACGTGCAGTATATTTGGCATACATTTATAAAATTGTAGTAAAGGCTAGGATAGAGGGTGTCCAAGGAAGATTCTCAAGGACAACTGTGGTTACTGAAAAATAATAAAAAATCAATTTAAAAGCTGCCCTGCAAAACGAATGGCTTCTGTACCTAAAACATGCCTTTATATTTTCTAGTGATTATTTGGAGTTGTGGTTTATTCTTCTGGTCTTGATCACATAGTGAATAGAATACCAAGTGTTTCTACACATTTGAGGTTGTGGTTTTTAAAGGTGTTGTGTATAAGCAGATTTTCTTTATTAATAAAATTTCCATAGTCCTTGGACACACTGCATTGAGATGTGCTCTAAAGTGTCTGGTGCACACAAAATCTCTCAGGTTAGTGTTTACTCAAAAAAATCTGGCTTGGGAATCCACAAGACCCAATATCATTTTGACTCTTTTGTCCCAGGGACTGTCCCTATTTGGGGACTCTGGTCCATCACAGAAGTCAAGATTATAATGACTCCCCAGGCAACGAGTCTGAACCAGGAAAAAAAAAAAATCTTTTGAAAGGTACCTGGAATGTTGCTTCTTAGTTTGTATGATCTAATGTCAAATAAAGCCTGGACTAAAGAATTAGATACATGCTGAGAGTTACACATCTGAGTCTTTTTCCATTTCAAGTTGGAATTTCAAGACTTCTGCTTACCCACTCTGAGGCCATTGAAAGAGTTAATTATGTGGTAAGATGCAGTGGTTCTTTTTGTTTAGTTTGAAAAACTTGTAGAATGCTTGCAGAAAAAGCTAACAATTTAGGACCTACTCTGCAAACTGGATTGGCTGTCCTTGAGTTGGGGCTGTAGATTCCAGGCTGGGAAGTCTGGCTGCCATTTTTTGCCTGTGTGACTTTGGACAAGCCATTGGCTTTTGGTTTCCTCATATGTAAAGTAGAGAAAAATCTAACTGCCTCACAGCATTATGGGGAAGGTTAAATGAAATAGCACTTAGCAAAAAGATGGTCTCCTAGAGAGCTCTTAGTACACATTTGGTTTCTTCCTTCTCTATCGGATTCTATGTAGTGTGCAAAGCTTCTCCTCAGTGATACAGGTTTCTGCTCCCACATCAAACTAGAAAAGTAGCTCTGTTTTGTTGTCACCTTTTGTGAAATCATTTTAATACACCAGAAACAGAAAGAAATTTTGCTTTTAAAATAAGATAGCACCAACTTTTATTGCTAGACACAGAATGCACATAATTTTGGGCTGGTCTGATCCCTTTGTTGTTTTCTCTATGCGGATGTTTTTGAATGAGTTTATCTTTTCTCAGTTCTTCTCCCCGGCAGAAATAGAGCCTGAGACATTTCTCTTATTTTTCATCTAAATTCTAACATAATGCAATAGAAATGTGTTTAACCCTAACTTGGTTTTTATTTTTTTTATTTTTTTTTTGGCGGTGGGGAGGGAGTACCAGGGATTGGATTTAGGGGCACTTGGCCACTAAGCCACATTCTCAGCCCTATTGTGTATTTTCTTTAGATACAGGCTCTCACTGAGTTGCTTAGCACCTCACTTTTGCTGAGGCTGGCTTTGAACCTGCAATCTTCCTGCCTCAGCCTCCTGAGCTGCTGGGATTACAAGCATGTGCCACTGAGTCCGGCTTTTTCTTTATTGAGCTTTTATATATTACCAGTCCACTGCATGTTAGGTCCTAGTGTACAATCCTTCATAGATTTAAAAACCAGCAATCAAGCTTGTCTCTGAATCATCAGTTCTCATTCAAGAATCATAGAAGGTTTACTTTTGAGCATAGACAGAAAAAATGAAATGGGTCTTTATTCTCCAAGCTAGATCTGAAAACATTGATGCCAATCTTTAAATTTGAGGAAATTTAATTATTGAAGTTATACAGCCAGTAATATACTTTTTCCCTTGATAAAGTCTATCCATCTTAATAGTCATGATAAATTATTATTTTTTTATTTAACACATTCATATCTTTTCTAAGTTTTTTTTTTATAAAGCATAAGACTATTAAATATTATATTGTATTTTTAAAAATAAAAATTGAAAGTGAAAATAAAACTAACATGGGGATGACAGCCCGGAGACAACAATTTTTTTCATTTTCCCCAACAAATATTTATATATTTATTGGTAATCCTTTTAAAGCATGGGTGCTCAGAGGTGATCCTTTTTGTTTGGTAAATCAATTAGAAAAATCCTTTAATCAATGGGATGTCGGACATATATTCACTGGTAATGGACAAAGCAGATACCACCAGTAATCCAAAGGCAAAAGTTTCAGAGACAGGAAGTCGTTGGTTTAACAACCTTCTCTGAGGTTGCAGGGAATGAGGCCTGGAGTCTTCTGGAACCCATACTGGAGCTCTCTTTTGCACATAGAAGCCTGCTGGAAAGGGAGGGAGGGCCCCTGCAATGGGGTGAAGGTCCACCTGATGCTGCCAGGAATTGTAGGGGAGACTTGGGCAACACCCCAAGAGGGGACTGAATCATAAGAGGTCAGGTGGCACTGGAGACATTGGAGTACCCCTTTCTGAGCAGGGCATCCCATCTACTCTATCTGACTTTCTGCCAAGACCCTTCTCCTCAGAAATTCTCACTGTCTTATCTCTTGACTGCTCAGGGGGTGACTGTAGGGAGTGAGAGGATAACTCAAGAACCTCAGGGGAAGGGGCAGTGTGAACAGAGAAAATAACTGTGATCTTGTGACATTCTCCCCCAATTGGTCTCCTACATTTTCCTAAACACACAGATCTGTTAGACCATCAGTGTCCCAGGGAAGTGATGTGCCAACCAGAGTGGACTGTCACAGACAGAGACCAGAATGGAGAAACGTGAAGTTCAAGTCATCCCTGACCTCAACAGATGATTTTAAATTCCCTTCCACTCAGGATAGAACTCACCTATCATTCCCTCAGATAGCTTTGCCTCAGATAGCTTTATTCTTCCATTAATTTCCCCTCGAGAGAGCAATAAAGTGACAAAAGGTTGGTGTACCCTTTCAAAAAGACAGAAGGCTTGCTTTGTTTTAATACAGGGAAGTTAAGAATCTGAGACTCTGAGCTTGACTGTTTAACCAGCGGCTGGGAACATGCACTTAGACAACTGTAGGGAGGAGTGACATCATGAGCAAATCTGGGGGCTGGGTGAGGTGACCACAAATGAAAACCTGGATTCCATTTGGCCTGGCTGGGTTGGAGTAAGAACAGCCATCCTGGTGCAAACTCACACCCACTCGCCACCTGATTTTAAAGTTGCTCCAGACAGCTCTGGGAAAAATCACCAATCCAGTTACCAACACTTCCAGATCTATATCTTTTCCCTCTCTTGGGCAATTTTTACTTTTAAGAAGAAGACCCCCGCCCCCATACACACACACACACACACACACTGCAGAGTCACCCTGCCCCTCCCTCCATTTTCATTAGATTCTATTAAGGTACTGCTAATTCAAATGCTAGCGGTTAACACAGATACCCCGGTGGGCACTGGTTTCACTTTACTAGGCCACAACTAAAGATCAGGAAAGCTTTCAGATTCACAGAAATCAGGTGGAGACTTGTCCAAGAGTCCTTCATACCCAGCCACGTCGCCACCTACTCCGATTGCCCAGGGTTCTCATATAGCTGCAGAGCCCATGGGACTTAGAGGACACTTCCCATTAGCCTAGCTCTTGCTTTTGCATCTGCAGCTAAGTCAGATGCTCAATGCATTGGAGCAAACCTCAGCTCAGACTGGTGGAAGGGAGGCATCCAGAAACTGTTTCAAAGGGCATTTTACTGTGGAAGGCAGGATGAGCAGAGGGAAGAATCCATGCAGAACCTCTTGGCCCCGGCGCCTGGCTCCCTGACCATTACTCACGGATACAACTCACCAAAGTTGAGAAGCTTCGCTGGGACCCCCAGCTTTTCTATTCACCCCCCACAGAACATCCTCAGACTTTGGCTTGGCTTCACACTGCCGCCCAGAGCACGACGTGTCTGCCACTAAGCAAGGTTAATGCTCATTTCTTGCTGAAAAAGTCCCAAAATGTAACTTAACAGGGTAATCTTTTTGTTGTTGTTGTTAATTTCCAAAATGTGTTCCCCCCATCCCCCCCAGTCCTTGAGCACAGACCTGTGGTTTTGTCTCTCCTGGTTTTACAGTCTATCTGCCTCCAGCCAAGAGACTTGGCTGTTTCTGCCCCCTGAGTCACAGTCTCGGCTGGTAGCTGAACCCAGGAAGCCCTGGCCCATGTCTCTCCCTGGAACCACCAGACCACACAGCTTCCAGTGCTCAACCCTTTGGCGGGTGTCCTGCCTCCTCTTTGTTTGGAAAGAGACTTCTTACGTAACTCCACAACCTACTAAATGCTCCATTGTCTTCCACTTGGGAGAGCTCGAAATAACCCATTAGTGACTTATGACTTATCACAGAGATAGAATCTCGTACCCACACACCCACAGCCCCCATGGAGCTAGCCTCACCTCTCCTACCTCATCAACAATGAGACTGAATGCTTGTGGTCTTCGGAGACTGGAAAGTTCAGTACAAGATGCAGGGAATACAAAGGTCAGTTCATCTATAGGTCATGGTACTTTGCTCCAAAGGCACATGAAAGTCATTTGTAATTCAAGACTGAGGCAGTCATAAACAATTCTGATCTGATTATCCTTTTACTAATCTGATTTTGATAAACAGCTGATGAAAATGGGAGGTGTCTGGTTATCAGAGGAGAGATACCCAGGCAGTGAAATCAGTTTCTCTTATCTCACTGGGCAGGGATTTATTTCAAGACTCCTATTAATAGCCTGCAATGCCAAGAACTGTGATCTCTACCCTGGATTTCAAGAACCTTCTGAGCAGAGTGGCAGAAACCCATTGGGTAAGGTCTTCTCCTCCATCTTTATTTTCTATGAATCTCTGATTAGCCCTGTTGGGGATTCTAGTAATTACTTAAAGCTGGCACCTCTATAAAAAATTATATACCTCTTAGGATTCAATTAAAAATGAAAAGAACCACTGCATGTTGTTTCCAGGGAGCTTTCACAGTGTAAGACAGGGGTGTAGACCAGGACGAATAAAACACTTCTGCGTTAGGTGACATTTCCATCTGGCTCTGCTGCCACAGCAGCTCTGGGGAGAGCAGCTACAGAGAGGAGGGGGGCAGCCTGTTCTGTCCTCCCCATGGACCTCATGGTCTTTCAAGGATTCCTCAGGCCCTTTTCTTATTTCTTCCTGCCACAGACATTTTCTCACCTGGGACCAGCTACGTGACTAGGTGAGGTGAGGTCACATTTCTTTGCCCGCTCAATAACATGTGAGTCTTAGGAAAAGCTTTCAGAAAGGGTCTCTGAAATTGGTAAAGTGCAAGTGTTTCAACATACCTAGGCAGCGTGGAGACAAGAGGCAAGAGGCTGTGTCTCTCTTTGTCCCTGCTCTCCCTCCCACTTCCCTTAATGCCTCCGTGTCTTGGACACCAATTTACCAGATTCAGTGCATGTATCTTTGGACAGCAGCTGCCAAACTCAGAAGGCAAGAGATTTTGCTGTGCTTAGTTTTGGGTGAAAATGTGACTCAGGTCTCATAATATTCAGTTCACTGAGTTTCAAAAAGCTGAGTATAAAAGGGGCTTTCTATTCTGGCTTTTAAAGTAGGGATTTCTGCAAGGTTATTTGAAGACCCCCTTCAGTCTTTGGGTTCAAGCTTCTTCTAAGGAGCTACTTGTGTATTACAGGGAAAAATTTTAGGTCTTGTAATTTGGAGACTCCACCGATTTTTAAATAATGTGGAAAAAAAAATCAACTTTTGATTTCTTGTTCATAGGAAACAAACTGAGATTCAAGTTCATCTAAAATGAGAAGATTAGATTCTTTGTGAAGGAAATACAAGTTTTAATAAAACTTGCATCCAAAAATGAACAAGAGTTGCTTATACTTACTGCAAGGACAATAGCTCAAAAGCTCAACACAGGCATGGACTTGACATTACAAATCCATTTTCTTTCTCACTGCAGACTGGCTATAAAGGAAGGATTTGGAATAGACATTAGGAAGAAGTTCCTAACTATAAATGTGTAAGATATGAAAGAAATTACCAAGGGAACTTGTAAAATTCTTATTTCTGCAGAATAAAAAATAATCTTCTCTGAAAACTATTGATAAAATAGTGTATCCTCTCTTTCTACAATGGCTTCATTTAAACACTACCCTTAAGCTCTTATGAAAAAAAAAATTTTCCAACTGAAAATCATGGGAATTTACCAATCCAATAGAGACTTCTAATGGTGTCATTGTCCTTTCTTATCGGTCCTCTGTCCTCTTCTCTTTCTAAAAGCACTTCTGATTTAGGAAATTTTGGAGACAGGGTGAAAAATAGAAAAATTAAGTGACTAAAGAAAGGAGTAGAATTGAAATACCTATAAATTACCACTTCAAGGTAACAATAAAGATAAAATTTAAGAAACCTCTTATGTATAGTCTACATACTTTAATACATAATATAATATGCAAACATGTGGTCCTGTTTAATTACACTTGGGAAATCCCAGAATGATATTTTTTTTTTTTTTTTAGAGAGAGAGAGAGAGAGAGAGAGAGAGAGAGAGAGAGAGAGAGAATTTATTTATATATGTTTTTAGCTTTCGGTGGACACAACATCTTTGTTTGCATGTGGTGCTGAGGATCGAACCTGGGCCGCACGCATGCCAGGCGAGCACACTACCGCTTGAGCCACATCCCCAGAGCCCAGAATGATATTTTAAGGAGCCCTTGAATTCAGAGTCTGTATGTATTTGAGAGGCTACACATCGTGATCATGAAAGGTACAATTCTGGAACCAGGATGCCTGGGTTGAATTCCAATGGGGTCTTGGGAAAGCCAAAAACTTCCTTTGTGCCTCCCCAACTCAGTTGCCTCTTTGAAGGATAATGATTTGGTTTTTGTGAAGAATGAATGAATTATTAAAAGTAAGAGATTTGTAACAGTGCCTATGGCCTATGCTACCTCTAGGCAGGATGATGTTGATGATGATAAACTATCGCATAGAAATTCAGGAAACCGGGAAAAGAGTGGTAGCACCTAAAATCCCTACAGCAGAGCACTCTGCAGAAATACACAGTGGTTTCTGTCTTCTGTAGACTAAGGACAACAACAGTCCCTCTGACCCCTGCAAACATTGGAAAGTGCAATGCCAATTGTTTTCTTATGTTTCTTCCCCAGTCATGATCTCTATTCACCGGGAAAACTAGATTAGAGCTTCCAAGTCCTGGCATCTGGGAATCCTGAGGCTCAGTGACCTGGAGGAATGATATGTCACAGCCAGGATAAGATTTTTAGAGCCCAGAACCAGTCTGTGGCCATTCCCCTACACTCTCAGATGTGGGTGCTTTCCATGATGATAAATACTTCCTACGACCTTTAAGGGAATGAAAAAGGTAGCAAATGCTTTGAAGAATGCTTTGTTACACTGGGAAGGGCAGCCCCACCATCTTTGCCTTGGAGACTCTGAATCACATGTTTGTACAGATTCATGTGACTTTTTTCTTGGAATCCAGCTGGCAGAGTTATTTTCTTTCTACGTATCCATTAGCTCTGTCCCTGAGCCTTGCCCAGCACAGTAATTCAGATTCTATGGAGGGGCAGGACCCTGGCAAAGCTCTGGTAAGGACCTTTGTGTGAAAATAGATGGCTCATGGCAAAGTGACACCCTTGAATTTTACAGTTCCCTGTCCACACCATCAAGGTCAGCTCTGGCATCCACAAGATAAAATCTTCAGAGATCTTTTTCAAAGCTGTCCTTACCAAGCCACACTGCCTGTCCCCAGGGCCCCAGGGGGTGGTGCTAGAAGTGGACTAAATATGCAAGCCCAGTCTGTCCCTACCTAAATGTGGAGTTCTATAAATTGACATCCTGGGTACTCTAAAGAGCTAAGATAGACGAGATTTAGCTTCATAGCATGCTCATGAATTAAAAATAGACCTTAAATACAGACGTGACCAAACTATCCTGTGGGGGAAGAGTGGCCCCGCCTCCTTGATGAGCAATGTCATGGGCTCAAGCAGACACTCCATCCACAGTCAAAAATCCCTGAGGTCAAAATAGAGATGGGACCACCACAGCCCCTCAGCCCACACCTCCTCCCCTCCTGGCCCAAACATACTCACTTCCTCTGGAGTTCTTTCATGAGAAGAAAGAAGAACCCAAACCAGGGGAGGGGCCAGGGAGATGGCATGGAAACCTCTGATACCTGCTTGCAGGGCTGTGTGTACACTCATCCTCTAAGAGGAAAGCAGCTTCAGGATGAGAAAGAGCAGGAAGGTCAGAGTGAATGAACATGTGAGGTACTTAAAGATAAGAACCGGTGTTTCCATACTGTTCCGTAGAAAGCTAGGTTTTACTCAAGGTTCATGCACTCTCTCTCTCTCTTTTTTTTTTTTAAATTAGGAATTAGGTGTTAGATGAGGGTTTTATAAATTACTGAATTTTTAATATTTTTTGAGATAGTATTTCTCTTCTACTACCTCCAAATTGCCTTCCATGCTCTATATTTTGTGCTATTCCCTGAGTGCATTTGGGGCCCTTAGACATAAAGCAAAAGAAAGAAATCGTTTTCTGCTAAGTTTTAAATTTTGGCATTTGTTACCAAGAGTCAAAAATTATTTTCTTTTACTATTTCATGTAAATAAGAAAACGTATGAAAGGGAAAATAAAATTTTACTGCAACCTCTTTTAGTTTACTCTTGTAATTTCTCCTTAAAAGAAAATAGTTATTTCTTAACTTAAAATTATTGTGTCGGAGCTAGAAGGAATCTTTCTAATTCATCTTATGGAAGAAAGAACTGAAGCCAGATGAAGTTAAATGACTCCCTCAGGGTCATTCAACTCAACATTCTCTTTTTTACTCCTTGGTAACACAAATTTTTGGCTTTTCTTTCCCTCCTTTTCTTGATTCTTTATCATATGAATTTAAAAGTTTGGGGTCCACAATTGTGCATGTCCTAATTTCAACAGGGTGGAAACCCCTGTTCAGTATTCTCCAGGAGGCTAGGCAAGAACTCGCTGTTGGTTTTTGTTTTTGTTTTCTGGGTGAAACCTCCACATTAATTGTATTAATATGTCCCAGGATATTTTCTCTCTGTTTCTTTTAAAATGAAATAAAATAAAAGTTTCTCATCTTCTCCCAACCTCGATGATCCAGAGTGAGTCGAGGAAGTACAAGGTGATGGGAGCGCCCCAGAGCCCATGCACAGAGGAGCTGGCTGAGAGTGTGACCAGGAAGCACTAGGAGCAGAGCAAACAGCCTGTTGTTTGAGAATATACCTTGGTGTTGATAGACAATGCTGGCAGCTGTACTCCCCAAGGGAGCTTCCTCTCTGACTCAGTGTGGTTCAGTGGTTCAAAACAGACTCAGGATCAGTCCCTTTGCCTGAGATCCAAGTCTAGGTTTTGCTACCACTTACCAGCTAGATAGACTTGGACAAATTCCTTGACTACTCTCTTCCTAAGTTCTATCACCTACCAAGGGGAGTTACAGAACACCTCCCTCACGTGTTCCTTGTAAGGCTCGCATGCATTAGTAACTATAATGTGCTGGGAAGAGTGTTTGGAGCACTCAAAGGCTCAACCCATACTCCTTATTACTACCTCCTATCCATCCTATTTCCTTTCTTTGAATCTGAAAATAAAGGCCAGATGTGCAAGAGGAAAGGTGTTGTATTATTCTGTCTGACTAGCTACCCAGATCAGCAATGCAGTTATGACCTCATGGGACAGAGAGGAGTCCTTTCTCGAGTCCTTTCTCATCTATCTCCACCCAGCTTACACCACTGAGGGCACAAATACCTGCAGTTCACCTTCAATTAGAGAGCAATTTCCAGAATGTGC